TTTTATTATATCAAAATTTGTATTCTTCTTTAATAGTTTTTATAGCGGTTTCTTTGTTACCTTCATTAAAATTTGTATTTTTCCAAGATTCTGAAAACTTTGTGCCGCACTGTACGCWCACTGCCATTGAAGCACACATATGTACATATGTAATATGTCCAAATATTTATGAACTGCCAAAAATATTTACGTTGATGCATTTTTTCGCTTATTGATAAATGTGTCTTCCACCGTCTCGCATTTTATTTTGAGAATTTGTATCGCTTGCCTTTTTAATGCGCTCGCGCCAGTATTGGTGGTCGCCGATATTCGCTATTATTTTTGTGACTTGACAGTTTTTGGCGARTTTCCGCTTCACTTTGAAGCCGAACATGCAGACGCACAACTACGCACATGTATACAAACATATAAGTATGTCCATATGTGTGTATTAAAAGCTGTCAATTAAAAGTTTTGAGTACCTTAAATAATATAAATAAATGTGTGCCTGACAGCCTTGTGACAGAAGTTACAAAAATTACCGGGTTGGCCGCGGCGCTGCGCGAGTATGAGCAAACGCATGAATATTTAAAATGTGTCGGTGCGTATGTGAGTGTGTGTATGTATGTATGCGTTTGAGTTCGTGAATAAGGCAAAAGGCTATGTAAACAGCGCTTTATTTTGTCTTGCCACTCACGTACAGGTTGAACACATTAAATTTAAATCAGCCTTTAATTGCCGCGCTGTGGTCCCAGCCAAAAACAACAATTAAAAATTGGAATGAAAGGAAATAAAATGCAAAAACAAAAACGAAAAATTACTTTACTATATGTGTGTGTGTGTTTTTAACTGTGTGTTCGACGGCAAAGGTTAAGGACGCACGCCTGTCACATTTTGCTCAGCGCTCGTAAACACATGYAATTTGACTTTGACTTGTAAGCTTACACCAGCGAACTTTATATGAAAAGTGAATGCTGGAGAGGCTATGAATATGTRTGTATGTATGTGTGTTGGTCTCAGCGTTGCTACAAAGATCAGTTTGGGGAAACAAAAATATTTCGAAAAATTCCTTGCTGCCACTTTTCAGCAGTTCAGTGAAAGTTGGCTGAAGCTGCATACTTTATACATACATATGTACGTATGTACATATATACACTTACGTACATACATATATCAATTTTTTTATTAAAATCATAATTTCTTCAGTTTCAACTAATAACTTTTCACAGCATTGCCCGTTTAAGCGAAATTGCTGCGCGCGAAATTCGCAAGTCTCCTCCACGCTCCATCGCGCTATTTGACTGGCGGATAATAATAATATTTATTGCCAGTCATTAAGCTTAAAAACTGTTATTTCACTTGTGCAAGTGCGTTTAACGCAACAATAACAATAATAAAAACAAAAAATRTGTACTAAGTGAATTTTCAAAAATTTTAAGTGCTCGTAAATAGTTTGGAAACAGTTAGCGCGTGCGTGCAAGGCATTCGTGAAATGAAGCATAAGTCAAAAAATCATAATTCAGCAAATAGATAAAATTATTTATGAAAATTACGCACCAAACTCACCTATGCACTAGCTCATTGCAAGTGCAAAAACAGCGATTTCTGTCTGCTTTAGGCGCTATAAATACTTTACTGTTATCTGCAATTTTGYGCATTTATGCTCGTAAAAGCCGCTATAAATGCTTGGTTGCTCGCTTAAGTGCGTCTTTGCTTACTCGAGACATTTATGTATGCATTTATGCAGTAAAAGTGTTTATTTGTAAAAATGTTTTAATGCATTTTTCCAAAAAGACAAATATAATTGAATTTTTCGGAAAATATATACTGAAAAAAAAAACTGAATTAAAAAAAATATATATATAAATTTATTTACATTTTA